CTCTCTCACCCTTCCTGGCCAGTCGGTGGGCCCAGGGTCAGATCTTACCAGATCTATCCAACACCCTGCCCAAGCCCAAATCAGACGACGCATTGCAGAGTTTAGACTAAAGCGGATTGGTATGCGAAATGAGCTCCGTTCACGTGAACAGAAGCTGATGCGCAGTTCTCAGAAGCTATTCGGCCTGTCGTTACGCAACCTCGATGACATCATTCTAAAGTTATCAAGTGATTATTTTAAGACGTTGAAGTTATTCTGCCTGAATGTAAGGAGTCATTGACAGTGGTCATATCTTGAAAATGTCGTCTTGTCCATTTCCCTTTGCAGGAAGCGGATTTCATGAATTGCATGAAATTGCATGAAGTTAAAATAACAATTTCATATAGATTACATGAATTGCACGTTTAAACGCGTTTGGTACCTACTTATTTTTTTTTTTTCAGGGAAAAACCTACTCAAATTTCCTGTCACTTTCGGAACCGTCTAAACCAACGTCTACACCAATAGTTCTTGGCTCCTTCCGGCGGAAACCCTATCAGCTCACCTCCCCACGTAAATTGACATAAACGACTTCGTTTTCCCTGTGGTGTTCTGCTGGGACTTGGGACTGCAATCCGCCACAGGCCACAGCCACAGCAAGCCAACTGTCGCGTCGGGAAGAAACGCTCTGAAATCGGCAGCGGAGAGTGGTGTAGAGCTGGGCACCGCAAACAGCTGGTCACCGCCAGGATAGCGACGACCGCCGCGGATGGAGTGACCGCAGAGGTAACGATGACCTCAGTGACCTTCAGCCGGTGTGAGTGCGGTGGGCTTTTTCACCGCTCCTGAGACCTCAGCTCTGCGGGTCGACGATTCCCGGGGGGGGGGGGGGGGCGGGGGCGGGATGAGACGGAAATAGACCACTAACCACTAAACAAGGTTATACCTGTAAGTCAATATACCCTGGTTATACCCACCTACCTTTGGCCATCTACCATCTGTGAGCGTAGACTATATATTCCGTGCCTTGACACAATGACCCATCGGACAAGAAACACTTCACATTTTGGCACGTTTCTAATACGAACTTCAAATGCGCATACATTAGCCATGTATCAGTGAAATCGCTGCGCCTGGGACTGGGTGTTTCCATAACGTGCTACAACGCTGAGGTCGTCTTATGCATACCGTGTGTCACTTGCATCTGCCGGTATGCACCCTATAGTCACATGCGAGGCTCCAATGTCACGTCACTCACACGCATAGATAGACGCCTGAGATTGACATGGCATGTCTGTTCGGCTGTTTACGCTGACATTGCATGGCAGCTTCATTGTGGGTGAGTTACCTTGAGAGCAAAAACAGCACTCGGCTCAGAGCTGACCTCTGTCGGTTTAGCAGCCTCTATCGGTCGATCACGGGCTCCTTTTCAATGGTGTGATTTCAGCAGTCCAAATGTAGTACGTCAATAGAATTAGATACATATACCTATAGGCGAAAAGAGTGGCGATGAAACAGAAGTACTTAAAGAAAGAGTGTTGCCAGAATGAAACAATGCGCTCAATAGCAAAGCCACTTTTTAGCAAGGCACGGTAAACAAAACCAAAATTATTTGCTTTTGTTTACCATCTTTACTAAAAGCTCGTTCTCTCAGTGTTCATTGTTCTGATACTGCATAGTGCATACCTAGTATCATACCGGATGTAGGGTCGCACTAAGTCCTCTGACTGGTCAAAAAGCTGAGTAATTTGACTTATCTGGGGATCATTCCAATGACATACTAGAAATGCTCATTAGTGAACGGCAGAACCGCTCCTGAGAGTTGAGTGCAGTGATAGCAAAACCTATCGTCTCTGATGAGAAAATCGTGAAGGGCACTCCTCGGCTGCGGCTGCCGGACCTTGTGCTGGTCTTTACAGACTCGATAACGATCGGTAGGATCGGTAGAAACTAATTAATAATTAAGCATGCTTGTTTCTGATATTGGGCAATGGGCTTGCCTGGTCCTCAGCTCGTGGTTCTATGATAAAACGTCACAACAAACTCCTTAAGCTGAAGAATATGTCATTGTTAAACGGTAACGTGCTTCTTGTGGCTGGATTTGTGATAGGTTGGGTCTGATTAGAAATAAGGATAAGGCAGATTAACTCACATCTCTTTTGAGCTATTAGCGCTATGCAGGAAGACAGCACACAAGTGCGGCCTTACAGTTTATCTCTTTGACCAGCTTATGTAAGTTTAGCGCGCCATCAGCTGGTGTCTAATGTTTTCAAGATGATCACAGTAAAAATATTTCCCTGACTGCAGTCTGCATCAACCATGCCTCGAATATTTGATGGACATGCGATTTACAAGGTCGATGGTGAATGCGATGTCTCGCTGACCCATTTGGCCTGTTTGATTTAGGTAACGATCGGGGAGAGCTCACCGCCGACAAGCCAAACAAAGCTGAACACAGCGGTCACTGCATAAACAATGAGCGAGAGGACCCAACACGGTTTGAGAGAACAACAACAGTAGCGGTGGAACACCTTCAATTAAGGGGGGCACTGTCGACTTTTGGTCCCATCCTTTCCATGCAACGCCCATAGGGCTAATGTTAAAATGCCAAAATCAAAGGGGCACGGTGCCCCGGTGCCCTCCCCGTTCCGCCGCCTATGAACAACAATACCCATTATCACCAGTGCAGACGCGACACATAGCGTCAGATTAATGCTGCTCTCACTCCCGTGGGAATGTTGGCGTCATTTGAGTTTTACGGTAACCTTTATCTTTTGGTCATTGCAGCTTTTAAATGAACGATTGGATAACACAAAAAGTCAGTGATGTCAGCGGGGCACAGTCAGGGTTGAAAATGGTAACGTGGCAAGCATAAATGTAGTTGCTAAGGCATCACAAACATAAATTTATCGTTGAGTAATTATCAGACACCAAACCGCTATTTTCTTATCTAACGGACAATCTAATGGTCTGTTGTAATCATTTAGACATAACATAATAGTAAACGGAATACGGATGACAGCACATCCACAATTCGGCTATATGAGGCGTATGCCTATCAAATAATCGAGACGTTTTAGATGCAAAGAGGATAACATCAAATTAGAGAGCGTTTGCACAGGCCCGGCGTTAGCCGAACAGCGGGCTACTCCAGGGCGAACGGAGGGCGAACTGGGGCGAACCAGCTACTCCAGCGCCACCTGTGACGACAGCGACGCCACTTTGGTCCGTGTTCGAGAGGATCTGCGGGCACTGCTATCGGCGCACTCTGCACGGCGCCATCTGGCGCTATGGGTATCTTCGAAACATGACAGACACAGACATGTCAAGTCATCTGTCTAAATAAATCTGTCTTTATTTCGATGCATAATTGATGAAAGAGTTGGGAAAGTCACATCAAATATCACAACTTTTGTTTCAGAACAGCACCAGATTTCATTTATTTGACTCGGGTCGTCTAAGTGGCCCGGACCTTTAATTTCGGACGTTAACTTCTGAGTGTAGTCGGTTTCAGGTTTCAGTCCGTATGATTTAGTATTGTGGCGAGTCAATCTACGCTTAACAGCGGACGTATGTATGGGCGGCGGTCGGCCCGTGTCAAGTGGATCAGCGCACCCTGATCAGTCAACAACAAGATGAATTGGCATAGTTACTACTTAGTCATTCGTCAGTGGTCGTATTGCCCGCTATCCTCCCCGGGTAACATATGAGCTGTCTTGTGTTTGATCAGTAGTGCAATGCGTGTTCAATGCGGCTGTTGGGTCTCCAGCATTGCAACGTTGCTCTCTACTGCATGCAGAATGGGGCACACTTAAGGTGTGGTCTTCTGACGCGCCGCTGAGCCACCAGAAATCGAATCTCGTTGCGAGTCGAGACTGCGAGCTCAGCCCGGGACCTGTCATTGTGTGTTGTGTGTTTCAGAAGTCACGCTCATGGAACTGAGAGAGGTATGACTAGCGATAAAGTACGGTGAGTGGTGACTATTGCTCCGAACGGGTCAAGTGAATACAGCGAGGTCTCGGGACTCTGCAGGACACGCTGCCCCATCATTTGCCTCAGTTACTCGAGAGGAACTGTACTTTGGCTCGGTTTCAACATAGATGACCTTGGTTGACGCTGTACTCTAACTTGTGGGGCAAATATTCGCCTCACACCACAAATCTGCAAACCAAAGGCAGCCCGTACAGGAACATGCTATTCGCTAGAAACAAAGTACCTATTTGCTACGTTAGGTCTGTCACCGTTATCATATCTTTCTTTTCTGAAGGTGAGGCAATGCATTCGCTACTCAATGATAAAAGCCGATAGACCACGATCTGGTTATCTGGCATTGTTTGCCCCACGCTAGTTCAGGGTACATGGCGAATCCACACAGCCTTAGGCGTACGGAAAGCAAATCACTTAAAGGACATTCAATGACATTTTGATTGGTTATCTATCTTATTTATGATTTATCTGCCAGGCAATTGATATCAAAGCAGTGCACACGCAGCACGCCCAAAAAGACTTTCCGCAAAGCCACCCAGTGCGTCATTTTTTTTCCTATTCGTACGTTGGATAGCAACCATGTAATTCATACCCGCGGTATGTGGGCGATCCTCACAGTCTCCCATCCCACCATTATATGGCCACAGCCACCTGAAAGGTATAGGGCGCACTACATTCGTTCATGTCTAACAACATCTGATAATGCACGGACAACACGAGCTGAACTCAATGCATTCACACAAACGACGTAGCAAAATAACATCGTGCTGTTTAGTGTTTAGGCAGCAAAACAAACCACCGAATCGCGCCTGGAGCCGTGCCAGGGCCTTGGCACGCCGGTCTCGCGTCGTCAGTCGCGCCGACGAGTCGCCGGGCGAGTGGCGGTCTCCTCGGCCGGCTGACTCCGTACCGTCGCAGCACGATGACCGAGTTGAACCGGCCGACCGGGGCCGTTGGACCTTGACCTCTCGCCGGACCGTTTTGAGGAGACCCGGGCCAGAGCTCGCGCCGAGCACCCGCTATCTGGCTGTTCGAGAGGGCAGCAGACGGCCGCGATAGCGCCGTTCTGGCTGTCTCTGTGGGACTGTCCTGTGCTCGGCTGACGTGGAGCGGCTCGCGGCGGGTGCAGTGGGTGTGGCGACCTGCCGAGGGGTGCACGGGGTGCGGCGGACCGGTGACGGGTGCAGTGAGCTCTATAACGGTACCGGCCGTGTACGGACGGAGTGGGGCCGGCGATGTGGCTGATTTGGACGGCGCTCCTGGCGCTGGCGGTGCTGGTTGCGCTCGGTTACCTGGAGAAGAAATACAAGCGATGTGGAGTTTACACTCAGCCAGGTGAGTGACGGTCGGCAGCGGCTCTGAGCGGCCGTACCAGTCCAGAGTTTCTCCGATGTATAACAGGTAATGGGTGATCGTTCAGACTGGGATTTTCCGTTTTATTTAGTTCGTCCTTCCGCCTTTCGATTAAAGCCGACGAGCCGTGGACATTAAATTCGACATCTCCTTGACAGGGAAGAAGTATCTGGTTTTATTTGACTAAAATTTGCAATGTAGGATAACTTTTGGTTCGATACAGGGTGCACCATAAATAATTACCCGTCGATAAATTCACTTAACTTCCAAATTGGCTGGTATAGGTAGACCATCTTTTGCATACATATGTATAACCCGCATATACCCCGTCCGTGAAAATGCAGATCTTTTGATTCCTTGGGACCTGTAAAAGACGTCTAAAATATCATATATGTGTAAAACTCCGTTGTATTTCGATAGATTGTGCACAACTCCGCATCTAAGTAGCTACACGTTTATATAAGAAGAGTTAGGATCAGGCTGGGTTTTGGTGCTCCAATGTTTACGGAAGCGAACTTCCACGAAAGCGTGTGTGCAGCGCTCTAATTGCCCTACATATACCTAAGGCTAGCGTAAACACATTCTTAAAGCGATTAAGATTGCACTAAATCATCATGAGCATTGAACACTGATAGCGTGGAGACACTGAACACTGAACACTGATACACTGAAAACAATTTAACCCAAGGCTGGCGAGTAAACCGGTGTTTTACGGGTACCCCTATCCGCAACCATTTTTAACCACCCTCCCAGGAGTAGTGCTAGGTCCCATTGCGGTGTAGTCGTACTTGCTCTGAGCGTATATAACCGCTGTCAGCGAGCAAGTCCGCTGAGAGCAGGGACGACTACACTGCAATGGGACCTTACTGTACTCCTGGGAGGGTGGTTAAAAATGGTTGCGGATAGGGGTACCCGCAAAACACCGGTTTACTCGCGGGCCTTGGGTTAAATTGTTTTCAGTGTACGTAATATACTTATTACTTATTGTTTGATTGGGCTCACCGTGATCAAATATGACAAAATTCATAACATTCCCGTCGCCGGCCGATGAAAAGGGGTTGTTGACGCCCCTGATTGTTTATTGGTGGTTTACCAAAATATGTTTGAGATAGGGAGTTCGATTTTTGCCCAAACTAACCTTTTAATTTAATTGTACCTCTGAGCAAGCTACCTCATTCCCCAGCCCCATCAGGTCGCTGACCTATAACATCGTATGCAAAACTGCGTGAAACCAAAAATATTGTGATTTCGTGACTCTATCAGTGTTAGGACTTATTTCAGAGATAAATGCAGTCTTAATTGAAAGTTCCCAGGAAATTACCTATCATTTACTCTACATTACTCCGATTTTTCATACGTGGCTATTGCAGTGCCGTAATGCCGTAAATGTCATAGTACAACGCATTTCACACTTCACAGGCATATGCTACAACCTGAAACGTCTATTGGCGAGGGCGCACTTCCAGTTTGTGCGCCTTCGCCGCTCTCCGCGGGTCAACAACTACAACTTGTACGCGGACGACTACGTGAAGCAGAGCTTCGTGCCCAGCCCAGAGGATGAAGACGCGGAGAGTCTCCGACCGCTGGCAGAGCCCGAGGTAGGGCGACTGGTCCGGTCGAGCCTGGTCGACGACTCGTGCACCCCTCTCCGTGGCTGCCGGGAAGCTAGGACGGCTCTGAAACAAAATGCGTTTTTAAGCCACAATAACGCTGCATGTGATATTGCTGTTAACATATAATTCTGCGAGATGGCATGATCCATAACGGTAGTAATTATCTCCACCGTGCGCTCCAGTCAAAAACGGCCACAGAACTGTTCGTAACGCAAGTAAATTTCAAGTGAGGTCATTGTGTATCTTATTTTATTTTCCTGCATTTTATCGATTACACCTCACAGCCCACGCCCCTTCTTCGCCTGTTACCCAATACAGTCTCATGACGGCATCACGTTCTTCGGGAGCGACTGTGAGGGCCGGCAGCTGCTGATTCGCCTGGTGCGGCGCACGGGACGGGAGACGGAGCTGCTGCTGCTGCTGCAGGTCAACGGCCAGCTCTACCAGTTGCCCGGTGAGAGCCGCACCTGCCAACGGCACGCTACAGCTCAGCTCCCGAGCTATTTTGCCGTCTCAGGGTCCTGGTTGAAAACTGTGTCTCAGCTCATACCAAGATCACCTGTGCGGGAGTGCTCGGTGAAATCCAATCTTTTCACTCCTAGACTAAGCTAGCGAGTGGACACGTCCTAAAAGTAAAAATCGAGTCAGCGTTGTGACTCGGCAATTGCCACACATAACGAATACCTTTGATATCGTGTTTCTCCATGGCACCTCTAGTGTATAGATACGTGCTAGTTCGACCTGCTCCAATTCAGCCTCCAAACCACATCTCGTTATTTCGGCCAATAATTCGTGCTGTACTCTCAGGTATGCCGGATACGACCATCTACAACACTGGCAGCGGCTGGCGGGCCGGGGCGTTGGCTATCGAGTGTGTGCTGCCCATGAGGCTCTGGAGGATCAGCTACCGCGGCCAGCTGCGGTCAGTCGGGACGAGACATGGTTACGAGATGGGAGACGGGTGGAAAAGAAAAAGAAGGATCATGGAATGACTTCGTGCATCAAACACCGAACGCCACTACGTGTCGTCGATCTATGTCCTTTCGATATCTTATCATTAGTCCATTAGAAGCATGTTGTGCTTGCTTATGCTCGGATACTGGCGATTTTGTTAATCGTAAATATGTAAAAGTATGTTGCTATCCATCATCGTGTGCGGAGTCTTCGGACTAAGTTACTCACCCTCACGTCATCCTCACCCTTTGTTCTCCGTTTTCAGTCGCTGTGTGACCTCTCAGGAGGGCCCGGAGGAGGCGGGTGACGCTGGCGCCACCTACGCGTCCCCCTCGGCCGGGGAGCTGGTGCCGGTGCAGTTCAGCCTCCTCTGGCAGCCCCTCTCGGCACCCTGTGACCTACGAGAGTGCGAGACTGACCTGATGGCCAGAGCGGTGGCCTGCGAGCTCTGGACGCCCGAGTTCCTCTCACTCATGGGGTGAGCGTGACGCGATATGCAGCGTCAATCAGCAGAAAAAGTGACACTCAAACGTCCTACAATGAAAAATGCTGAGCGATCCCTTTGCAAATCGATAACGTTATTTGAAAGATAGTTATTATCGTGCATATCGTTCCATATTATTATAGAAACCGCCGCAGAGAGAGAGAGAGAGAGAGAGAGAGAGAGAGAGAGAGAGAGAGAGAGAGAGAGAGAGAGAGAGAGAGAGAGAGAGAGAGAGAGAGAGAGAGAGAGAGAGAGAGAGAGAGAGAGAGAGAGAGAGAGAGAGAAAAAAAATATTGAGACCCGAAGAAGCTCTTGAAGGCAAGCCATAACCAATGATTGTGCTTATCTACATACTAGAATCATAAATATAAGCTGCCAATTTCATGCACCTCCTTTACCCCTCGGCCCTCCCCTCGCTCACAATCCAGGTCGTTCTCTCTGGACGGATACGCTCAGTTCGGCTGTATGCGCGGCCAGCTGACGGTGGCCGGGGGCGCCCCTGAGGAGGTGTTTCTGCGCGGCCCGCGCCAGCACCGCTGGTCGGACGGTGAGGGTCCCCAGGCGGCGCCCCGACACCGCAGTCTGCGCCTGCAGGCGCGGATGGCCGACGGCAGTCAGCTGCTGCTCGCTGCCGACAGCTGGCGCGGCGGCATCTCACAGTGAGTTTGAAGGATCCTCACAGTATACCGGTCGAGCTCATCTTCATTGAAATATGCCCTCGTAATATGAACATTGAGCACCCAACCCACGGGTAGACCAGTGTTTCATGATGATGATGTTAACCGTTTCCTGCAGCTTGGTTTACGGCGTGTACATGGGAGCCAACTTGCACATGTCGCCGATCAAGTCCTGCAACATCAGTCTTCCAGACCTGGCCGAGGAGGGCGACATCCCCAGCATCTTCAACGTCATCTTCTCCGGTCAGTCAATCTGTCAGGATCCGCCAGTTTTATCTACATACCTACTCGGGGGCTCGAGCCTTCCTTTATGTGGAAAATGGCATATGATTACGGGTTAGGCAATATAATAATTCAGAACGAGGGAAGTTATTGGATAGTGCTGTACCTTGTGTAATTAGGCATCGAAAGTCGCCCCAAGTCGTTCAAGCTATTGATAAGCATTGCGGTACAGCATCACTCCAGGCGACTACCGCTAGCGCCATCTATGGGCGTGATTTGAAAATGCCAGATTCTTCGAACCTGCGATGAATACGAATTTAAATATAACTAACGTCTCTTCCATAGATGGCAAAAAGGAGCACGCTATCGCATGCATAGCGACAGGCAGTCCGATCTCGTCCTTTTCCGAGCGCCCCTGGCGGTGGATCAACAAACTTCAGGTGGCCGATACCTGCCTAGATGGAGTCCAGGGCACCGCCATCCTGGAGTTCGGATACCGGTAAGAAAAGAACGATGGGCTGGAACTGTTTTTTATGTTCACAAGATGTTCCTGTCTGATGATTATAGATTGATGCTGTGCTGAATATGTGTCCCTAGGATGTTGGTCGGTCTCGGTACCCATCGGTTGAATACCCGGGGCCTCCTCCAAGTTTCCCGATACCGTGTTATCCGTCTAAATAATTCGATGATGTCCGCTCCTCTGACCGTTTCTGTATCGGCAGCTACTCGGGGCCGTGCCCGCTGCGGCCGGAGATCTCCCTCCCTCTGCTGGTCGGCTCGGAGCTCTCAGCCGTCGAGCCGCGCCGCGTGGTGTCGCTCGCCGACCCGGCGTGCCGCTGCGAGGCGCTGGTCGGTGGCAAGGCGTGCTCGCTGGCGCTGCTGACCGAGCTCGACCTGGCCGAGGTGGTGGTGCCGCGCGGCGCAGTGGTGACGGCCGAGGGCTACCGTCACCAGCTGCAGCACCAGCCGGAGCTGCGGCGCGCCGCCGAACGGGTGGTGCGGGTGTCGGCCGGACTGGAGGAGGGCGACCTCAGCCAGGTCTGTGACAGGTGAGTCCCGGGTCTGTGACAATAGTATGATAGTTTTGTGACATGTGAGTGGTAGGTTTGTGGCAGGTCTGTTACAGATCTCTGACAGATGGGCGACAGTGTTGTGACAGCCGACAGGTCTATCCACATGCGATAATGCTTAGGAATCCCAATTCAACAGCTACGTGATCTCTCCATTCTGCCGCACTAACCGTCCTACGCTGCCATTTTCAGCACCGTTCAGGAAATACAGAACGCCCCGGTTAGCCAGCAGATCATAGAGGAGCTGGAGGCGCTGCTGGAGGAGCAGTTCGGCAAGACCTGGCCCGAAATGCGCTTCGCCGTGAGATCGTCGGCACTAGGTAAAATAAAATCGAACAGAACATTGTCTATATAATTAGCTGTTCCTCGTATTATTTACGAGTGTCAATTTTTTTTCGTCAGGTTTCTTGCATATGCGTTTTTGTTTAACAAATGACTTTTTACGATATTTTTGAGGGATATTGCACTTACAATCATTTACCTTGAACCGGTATGATTTTTTTTTCAGCGAAAATAAGCTTATTGGCTTTGGTGTCACGCTCGATTGGCAAACGATAAATTTGAACGCCGAGTCAACCACCGTTTCTTATGCACCCGTCTAAGCCCCCTTCCCTCTCCTCCAGGTGAGGACGGCGAGGAGCTCTCCTCGGCCGGTCAGAACGCCACGGTCCTCGGCTGCCGGGGTCGTGACCAGCTCCGGGCCGGCCTGGCGCAGTGCTGGGGCTCGCTGTTCGCGCCGCACTCGGTACAATACCGCCGCCAGCACGGGCAGCACATCCACCCAGGAATGGCCGTGGTGGTGCAGCAGATGGTGGCCTCTGAGGTCAGTGGGGTCATGTTCACCCGTGACCCGGTCACCGGCGACCCGTCTCAGATCAGCATCACGGCCAGCTACGGACTCGGAGAGGTTAGTGAACAGACCGGGTAGGCGACAGGGAGAAAACAGACGTGTTATTTGTTAGGAAAATACCGTTTTATGAAGGATATTTAGTTGATGCTTGAGTAACAATCGAACATTTTTTGTCTTAATTATGCTTTCATCGCAGGTAAATTCAGTGCATGTAATCACTTCGGCCGTCGCATTCTTGATCTCTTTGCCATGTTGTAATTAGTTCATAATTTCAGCGTTTTTACGATTGTTTCCAGAGCGTCGTCTCGGCCAAGGTTGATCCCGACACCATCACAGTGAGTCGGTCTCACACTGATGAACTGGCCGTCTCCAGCCGCCATCTTGGAACGAAGCAAATCCAAACGGTCATGACCGGTAAGATAATTTGCTATATTGAATATCTTCTGGATATAACGTTACTGAAATGTTACGGAGCGCTTTTAAGGTCTGGCTACACTATGCGTTTTCTGCGTGCGTTTTTTGCGGGTTGGCGTTTTCTGCGTGATATCGTTCTAGAAAACAGTTAAATAATACAACTTTTACCTTACTTGTGCATTAAATATGCACTTAAGTTAAGATAACTCTTATATTAAGTACAATTTAAGATAAAAACATCACAAATACGTAATAACGTTTTTTATTCTAAAACGATAGGTATTACGCAAAACCCGCAAACCCGCAAAAAAAACGCACGCAGAAAACGCATAATGTAGCCAGGCCTTTACTGTTCCGCACCTTAAAACTAATTGGTACCTCCTCTCCTACACACGTAGCCCAATTCACTGAATCTGAACCATGTGCCTTTGTCAGCGGCCGGCGGCACGGCGGAGGTTCCGATCGACTCCAGCGCCGCCGCCGCCGGATGTCTGTCCGACTCGGCCGCCCTCCGGCTGGCCAGAATCGGAGTCCAGCTCGAGAGCGCCTTCGGAGGACCGCGAGACGTCGAGTGGGCCATCTCAAAGGTCAGTCAGTCAGACAGTCAGTCAGTCAGTCAGTCAGTCAGTCAGTCAGTCAGGCCGGCAGGCCCGCTGTCAGTCAGACGATCAGGTAGGCAAGCAGGCAGGTAGGTAGACAGGACGGAGTAAATACATTAAGTTTTGGTTATGTGATTTATTTTATATTTAGTGTTGTTCATTTGAACGATAACAAGCTTTGTGTCATTATATTCGTCACAAAACTTCCTTACTCCCAGAATTATTGAACTACGGACGACCGAGCCTTGTAAACATTAACGCAACAAGTTAGGCTGTGCCGCAATACACGTCTGACGGTCAGACTGTGCCGCAATACACGTCTGGTCGGTAGATTGTATACTTACCGCAATACACCTCTGACCGTTAGACTGTGCCGCAATACACGTCTGGTCGGTAGATTGTACCGCAATGCACGCCTGAGTCACATACTGTACCGCAAACACCTCTGGCTGGTAGGCTGTGCCGCAATACACGTCTGCCTGTTAGGCGGTGCCGCCGTACACGCATGTCTGATTGGGTGCTCCGCAAAACACTATTGGCTGGTAGACTGTAACGCAATACACGCCAGGCTGGTACACTGTGCCGCAATACACGCCTGACTGGTAGGCTGTGCCGCAATATGCACCTGTTTGGTACCTATGCTCTTATTATGCACGTCTAGCTGTTAGACTGTGCCGCAAAACACCTCTTGCTGGTAGACTGTGCCGCAATACACGCCTGCCTGTTAGGTTGTGTCGCAGTACACGTCTGACTGGTAGGCTGTGCCGCAATACGCGCCTGACTGGTAGGCTGTTTTAAGTGTTATAATTATAATCCACGTCTAGCTGTTAGACTGTTAGACTAGTAGTCTAGCTGTTAGACTGTGCCGCAATACACGTCTGACTGGTAGGCTGGGCCGCTATACACGTCTGAATAGCAGACACTGCTTGATGCAAATTTCTGGCTGCTTTTACAGTCAGCAAGACATCAGTCAATGAACATGATCGTTTTAACTTTTAGGAACCAATTACGATATTTCGTTCACTGTTTGTGATGGATCATGGAACAACAGTTATGTGACTTGCAATTGCACTCTCCGTGCGCGATTCAACTGTCTTCACCACGTTTGTTCAATAACGCATCCTTCCCTGCCCGAACAGGACCAGATATTCCTGCTGCAGTCCCGTCCGGTGACGTCTCTGGCCGGCTGGTCGGAGCCGGAGCTGACTCACGAGAACGACGCGGCGCTGCTCACGGATCACGAATGCATCACGGGTGCCAACACCGGGTCAGTAAGGCGACTCCGATACACTCCTGCAGTGATTGTCGTGAGGCGAAGAGGGGAGGGGTCGATTCTTAACCGGGTGGGGGAAGATAACGTAAGGGAGGTGTAACTTTATGTAGTTCGTGAACATCAGCGAATTGATGTTTACGGTGAGTTGAAGAGCAGTTCATGATATTTTATTACAAGTACCCGTATACTATTGATGCCGTTTTAAATGTAAGCTAAGTTTTCAAGCTCATTTCCAATTTTAATCCCTTCCCCTTTCCACGTCACCCCCCTCCCCCCCCCTGCACCCTCCTCTGACCGGCCGGTCTCGCCGACAGCGAGGTGCTGCCGAACGCCATCAGCCCGCTGTCTATGGACACCATTGCTCGCGGCATGGAGATCGTTTCGGACACGCTGCGCGCCTTCTTGATGGGAGTAGAGAACCCGTGTCCGCCCTACACCGGCCAGTACTTCCCTATCACACACTTCCGATACATGATCGACGTCACAAGGGTGGGTTCGGTGAAGGCGTCTTAGTCCCACCATACGTTTTTACCTTTTTACAGTTCTTGATTTGTGGTTTCCCCGTTTTACGGTTGGACTTTGACATAACCATTTAGTTAGGCGTCAATGTTATTTTTGTCTACCTATAGTGCATACAAATAGCTACGTTTGCCATTCACGCGATTCTTTCCGTGTTTTGACCATCCGCGAGTTCCTGAAGCTGCTAACTAAATGTCCTCATCGGCAGACGTTCATGTCTTCTGTGCAGTCGTGGGAGGAGGATGACGTCGAGAGGGCTTCTGCCATGACCATATTCGGCCACCTGGTGGACCTGAAAGAGGCCAGAGCCACGGCCATCCGCCGCTACGGCGTGCTCAGCCGCTATTCCAGCATCCACCAGCAGGTCTCGGCTGCAAGGGTAAGTGATGGCGGTGGCGATCAGGGCCCAATGTTTTAGCGCTGTTAATTCCAGGCTGATAAGCCACGCAACAAATGATAAATATACAGGCTGGGTGTTTCATTTGAACTACTACAGTATGCTACTGACGGTGATTTCCTGCTCTCCGTAGCATTAAAGTCTCGCCACGAGCCGGTTGGATAGCTAAGTCGAGTGGGTCTGGCCATGTGAAGACGTTCAACGCTCATTTTTGTCAATCCCCCACAGCTATCACATGCCCTGTATATGCTCATGATGATGTCAGCACCCACACATTTCTCTTCACGCTACACTGAAAACTTTTTTACCATTTCCTGAAGGGTAAACCCGCCATTGCATGGTAGCTTGACACACAGACGTTTTTTACCACCTTCCAGATGGTAAATTTTACTCTTTCATGAAGAGTAAACTCGCCAGGGAGGGGTAACATGACACACAGACGTTTTTTACCATCTTCTGAATGGTAAACTCTTTTGATTTACTCTTGTCTAGAGTGTAACATTTTTTTGGGTTACACTCTTTGAAAGGGTAAATCTTTAACGGAACCCTTTTTTAGGGAGTAACGCATCATCTACTCTGTGCTTTACCCTCCTACAGAGAGTATATTTTATGGCCTACCCTTTGTCACATGGTAATGTTTACTCTTTCCTTTAGTGTAAACCCCCCAGAGGATGGTAACAGACCCACAGACGCTTCCTTCAGAAGCTTCACGAAGCTTCTTTTAACCGGAGCTCACCAACTAAAAAAAAATGTTTCAAGAGCAACAATGTAGGTATATTTGGGTTCCGTACAAACAATACGAGGGGCACACCAACCATGAACATTGTGAGACTCTTCACTTATTCATACAAATTTATAGAAAGCGTTCAGCAATGCACAAGCGGTAAATAAACACCACGATACAACTTGAATGCAATTTGAATATGAATACAAGACATTCAGCGCCCTCATATTGGATTAGGCAGAGCGCACAATATTTGAAGTGAGCGACGGCGTTCCTGGGTGGTCGCCCGTCTGCGTGAGATAATGAGACTGGATCACTACAGTGCAAGGCTTTTTCAAAGTCACCAACAAAATGCATAAACTTGTAGCATCACAACAAAATTAATGTACGTACTCACAACACTAGGCCACGTGGCCGTGCACGGGGTCCTGTTAACCAGGTCAAATTAGCACCACTCAACGGCACGCAATGCTCTAGCACATCGGTACTTACAATAAAATGTCCACAGAGGCTCTATAGGCGATGAACAACACACAAGCACAATCACCAACGGCCACGCCGCGCGGCACCGACACTGCTCACATCCGCTCTCGGAGACCAACGGCCGAAAACTGACAGATGCGCGCGGCCTTCAAACCGCAAACGGCCGATCTCGTTTCTGATTGGCTGATTGTTTCCATTTCAAATATCATCTTAACGAGGGTAAACAAGATCCACGCATGAAACGACTATCTGTACCCGAGTCACGATACCCAGGAGGAAAGAGTTTTCGTGATGTTCTGGATCGCGAGAGTAATATTGATATTGACATGGTAATAATACTCTTCGCTGGCGAATAAGTTCATATTAACCACGTACCGTTACTATGCACATAATGGTAGCAGCGAGTTACCCTTTCAATATACTATTATCTTGCGGGTTTGATGAAAATGAACTCTCCAGGAGGTAGTAAAAAAGTTTTGAGTGTATGGGCTTCATATCCACTCGTCAAAATAAATATATCGAAAAGGAACCGGCCAAGAGAGCTGAAGAGCCTCCTTTTTCTCACTCCTCACTACCTCTGGTCCGCAGTTGGCGTGGGGCTGCAGCGGACTGGTGAAGCGTGCTCAGGAGCAGTTCGGCAGGTTCAGGATCGACACGGACGGCCAGAGGAGTCGGACGGCCCAGCAGCTGTTCCGCCACATCTGCGGACAGCTGCCGCAGCTCAAACAGATCACCGAGGACCACGTGTTCTGCACGACCACCGGCAACATGCTGCAGATCGCGCTGCTGGTCACACTCTCCGAGAACGGACAGAGTGAGCGCCCGGGACGGGACCGGGACGGACAGGGACGGAACCTGAAAGGGACTGGGCCGAGACTGCAGCACTCGGGATAGTCCCTGTCTGCCATAGAGAAGCCTAAATTGGTCAGAGTTAGATACTCAGGACGGCATTCTGTCACAGTCATGCCCGACCCTAACGTTCAAGAACCTCGGTTCATGCATCACGCGTGTCCAAAGAAATCAAACTTATGCACGAAAGACTGTCAATGCTGAATGTCGATGCATTTTCAGACGCGTGGAACCAGGACATGTTCTCGAGCTTCGCTGTGCTCCTCTCGAGCTGTAGCGGCGCTGAATCGGCCGAGGTTCCATCGTCCTTGAAGGTAAGAGAAAAAACTTTTATTGTGCAAGAATTTCCGTATTACCAATACAGAACAACTTTAATTGGGACAGTCACAAAGCATTTGGTTTACTTACGCGCCAACCCGTCTGACCTGTCTTCACTCGCCATGCTGTCCCACACTCCGGCTGACCCACCGATCCCACACTCTGTACAGCGCCTGTCGCGGCTGATTGCCGCTACCGAGGACGCCGACGAGTTTGTCTCCGCCTCGCCGGAGGAGGCGCTCGTCTGGCTGAAGACCAAGCACACCGTGGTCGCCGTCACGTTCAAAGACTTTCTGGCCACCCACGGTCATCGGGCGGTTGCCGAGGTGAGCAGCATGTTCTTGCTCTAAATCGCCCATCATTACCGTATAAGATACATGATCTTGTTTCATGCCTGCTCGTGCCGTCACTCTCTTTAGTTTTCAACCGAGCTAACTCCAATATTTTCCGCAGAGGTGCGTGGGATATAATATACATACGTCCGGGCAGATAAACTAAGCCAATGGGAAAACTTATCAGGCATAAGTTATTTTGTAAACTTTACTTCAAATTCACCACCGTAACCAGTACCGCCATTTGACTACCGCGACTAACCGGGGACTGTTCTCACCTCCCGCTTCCGCTGCAGATGGACATGCTGTCGACGCCGTGGGAGCTGGACCCGCGGCCGCTGGTGGCGACGCTGCAGACCATGGTGAAGAACGCCGACTCCCTGGAGGACAGCAAGGCGGAGGTGGACGTGACGCAGGCGCTGGACCAGCTGAAGGTGACCGTCTCCAGCCGCAGTAGGTCAGTGGTGACGGTGACAAACGTCAACTAGTTAAATAGGATAGCTCGTTAAGCATGTGCTTGTTGGTGTAATGTGATGATACTCCTAAATATCATTGCGACTTAGAGGTTTTCAGATTAAGCTACTCAAGATTACGTGGTCTGGTGTTTCGTCTTTTTCTCCCAAATGTGATGTTTCATGGTTGCTGGTGGATTATGTCGATGGCTTCATTCCGGTGTAAAGATTTCAAAAAAGCTTACTTAGCTTTCGAGGTTTGACGTGTCGTCTCACGCCCTGCTGCTGTCCCGAGTGTGGCGTTTTACGTGTCTGCTTCCTTAGGAAGGGGCTGGCGTTCCTCCTGCCGTACGTACGACAGGGCGTGGTACGCAGGGAGTGCACCAAGTCTCTGCTGGTGCGCGTCCATCACCAGTTCCGGCTGGCCTTCAGGTAATGCTGCGACTCTCCGCGTGCGTCGGTGTTGAGACTTAGTTTGAGTCGATATCAATTTTGATGTTTACTCATCACTCTTCTTGCTATAAGTATGTCTCAGTTGTTGGTTGCCTACAATTTTAGAAAAATAAGCGACAGATAAATGTTAAGCCTTCGTTAATGTACCCTCAATATCTTACTTTCTTCAGGCGCCTGGGTCAGCTGATGGTCCACGAAGGCCGGCTGCCGGACGCCGAGCTGGTCCACTTCCTGACGCTGCGCGAGCTGCAGAACCTGCTGGATACCAGGTCACCGGCCATCGTCATCAAGTCAGTCAGAGCTCTTCTTCATTGTTTGTGTCATAAGCCGTCCGTGTTTTTGTGTCAATGATATATGTATAGGCCTTGATTGCTCGCATCTCTTCGCACTATTTCGGTGGTTCCATCTGCCTCACTTATTCACTGGCACCCTCATCATGAATCTTCAGAGCCTCTCGTCGACGTCGGCTGCTGCCCAAGCTGAACCAGCTCAAGTTCGCCGAGGTGATCCGCGGCATCCCCCGGCCGCTGCCGGTCCAGGAGCCGGTCCGCAGCGCCGACGGTCTGGTGGTGGTCAGAGGCACCCCCGTCTGTCAGGGGCGGGTGCAGGGCACGGCCCGGGTGGCACGCTGCATCGCTGACGCCGCTCAGATTCAGGTGAGGGAATAGTGCAGGTGTCGGAGAGGTTGGAATTGGGGTACTGTGAGGCATTGCAACTGATATTAGGCGCGTTATGTTGTTTCCGAATCGCTTATTCCTGATGTGTCAGTTTTTGCACGATGAAGTATTTAGGATGAAGTTGTTAGAACATGAGTGTGAAGAGAGATGTGAAGATAGATAGTCGACAGAAAGGGAGAAACACGCAGAATACAAAAAGAATGCCAATCTGTTTCACCACCTTCTGAAGGTCTGAACCCCTCTATCCATCCAGCCTCTGAGCCCTTTGGTGACTTCTGAGCCTTTCGCCGTCAGCGGGACGACATTCTGATCACGCACGCCACGGACATCGGCTGGAGCCCGTACTTTCCGGTGCTGGGCGGCGTGGTGACCGAGCTGGGTGGTCTCATCTCGCACGGAGCCGTGGTGGCGCGCGAGTACGGCCTGCCCTGCGTGGTCGGAGCCACCGGCGCCACCGACGCCTTCCAGTCAGGTCAGTGGAGGAAAGGGAGACGCGGATAGTGTGTGGTGCGAAGGGGAAGTGACTGCTTTTTGCATTCATCGGTCCCATGCTCTAAACAAATGATTCTTTGGGCTTAGTTCATAAATGGTACGTTAGTGATGCTTTAGGCAGAATGACCGATTTTTTTTACCTTGATTGTGTATTTTTCTACCATTTCACATTTCTTTCTGACCTATTTCAGGAGACACTGTGATTCTGGACGGCGCGCTCGGTACTATCACTCGAATCGCGTCTGCCCAACCGGAGTCTGAGGATAGCGAGAAAACCGAAACTCAAGCTGACGCGCCCAGATATGAGCCCGAGAAGCCTACACCCAAGCCTCAGGCTGAGACGCCCAAACCTCAGGTAGAGACGCCCAAGGCTCAGGATAAGACGCCTAAGCCTCAAGCTGAGACGTCTAAAGCTGAAGCTAAGACGCCCGAGTCTGAACCTAAGACACCCAAGCCTCAGACTGAAACGCCAAAGCCTCGGGCAGAGACGCCCAAGCCGCAACCTGCTACGCCCAAGCTTCAAGCTGAGACCCCAAAACCTGAAGCTAATACGCCCGAGCCTGAAGCTAAGACACCCAAGCCTCAGACTGAAACGCCCAAGTCTCAGGCAGAGACGCCCAAACCGCAACCTGCTACGCCCAAGCTTCAAGCTGAGACCCCAAAACCTGACGCTAACACATCCGTGTCTGAAGCTAAGACTCCCAAGCCTCAGACCGAGACGCCGAAACCTCAGGCTGAGACGCTCAAGCCTCAGGTACAAACGCCTAAGTCTCAGGCTACTACGCCACAACTTCAGGCTGGGACACACAAACCTCATGTTGATACTCCTAGACCTCAGACTGAAACATCCAGACCTCAGACTGACACTCCCACACCTCAGCCTCGAACGCTCAAACTTGATGTTAAGCCCGAACCTCAGTCTCAAATAGCCAAACCTCAAACTGGGGTGCCTAACTCTCGGGCTGAAGCGACAGAAGACATGCCAAAGCAGCTTAGAGAGTGACACTTGACAGGTAGTTCCACTCGACATCTTCAAGATGCCTCGCTACTCTGCCTGGAACTTAGTGAAATATGATGTTATTTATGAGGGTGTTTAGCTATGAATAGGGATCTAATGATGCCATATAGCCCTAGGTGTGGTGCCTGGCGCATGTCTATCAAAATGGGCTTTGTTTTATCGGATGCCATGGCAGACTGAGAACGGTACGGCTAATTAAATGCGATCTGCGAATATTTTGATTCTGCTCAAGTACTTGTTCGTTGATGGAAATGAATAGGTATAAAGTACCATGTTGATGAAGAGTTATTATCGCATAGAGTAAATGAATATATGGAGTTTATGCAATATACCAATGTTTTTTTTTTTGTTGATCGGAGTTTGCTCTAACGATGGTCTATGACGCTACATTTCAATATGCACCACTTTATGCAATCGCGGTTACAGGGCATTTGTAGGACGGCGCATCAATCAGAGTTAACTATCTTCATGCCGCTCCGGCGGTGCAGTGGTCAGTCAGAGCTCCCCTCTATCCTCGTCTGTCGGGCGCCCAGGCTGACCACAGCGCCGGCCAGTCGGCCCCAGACGACGCCCGGCCTGTCCACCCCACTCTGTTTACACTCGGAGCTGCGCCCGGCGCAATTGGATAAATATTTACCGGTGGCGGCGAGCCGCGGCCGGCATGTCCGTCCAAGGGCCCGAGTGGTGCGTCCCGTCACCAGCAGCCGCTCGGCTCCAAACATATACGGACACGTCTATACGATGAATCCCGTAACTACGCCCTCACCTATTAGAAAATATTTGATAGGTTTGGCTATGTCGCAAGGCTTAACAAATGTTAAAACATAGTTAGATTCATCGGAATTGCAACATGAGGTGTTTCTCGTTAGACCATTCTCGGTACTTTTGCTTCAAACAATATTGTTTGATAACCATCAACATCATGTACGAGCATTTTGATTTATGAGCTCTCTCAGGTTTTACCATTGAGCATGCCTGCTTTAGAATACCACCGACTTATTGTGTGTAACCCACTATACAAGTGAATGATAAAGACACTTGAACAAGTGTTTGAAAGCATGACAGCGTAGGTATCAGCCCTGATTACATAGTCAAACAAAGCAGTGTTGGATAACGCTTGATTGCGTTTTAAGGGATGCATTAGTCTAAGACATCTTACCTCGAATGAGGGCCATTCTTTCCGATGCTGTCCTGGACAAGCTAGAGATAGAAAAGTTAACCAGGACGGCGGCCGTGGGCTGTCATCTCACTATTTCTCGGCGGTAGTTTTGCCCCCATGTTTGTCATTTATCTTTGTTTAACTCGGTTGGATATGGATAGTCACCGGTCAGTGACCCAACGGTTTGCCTCCAGCTTCCCCGAGATGACTCTCGAGCATAGATTGCTCTTCGGATTGCGCGCCTACCACGAATACTCGTATAAGGCGTATTTCCCGTTCAAAAATGCATGGCACAGTTCTCTATAGTGCTCTTCATAATAAAAAAGACAGCCTGATTTATGACCGCATAACACGAACAGTGTTCAGTGGGTTCGTTTCCACCTGACTCGTAAGATGGCGATCTAAATTTGAATCTAGCGCATGGGAACACAGCACGTGTATGCTGGGTATCATCAGACAGAGCCAGCGTGACAGCAAACACCACAGTTCCCTAGATAAGACAGGCACACAAAGGCGTCGTTGAGGGCGCCAGCGTACTGCGTGTCCAGAGAGAACCATCCCAGCTGCTGCCCCTATGAGTGCAGTAGGTATATATTGCCGCTGGATGTCGAAATAAAGTCGCCTGCTGCAAAGGTAAACACACCCCAGAAATGAGGCTATGTTTACAGTGCTGGACCAGAGAACTATGCAGCGCCAGTACGTGTTTGTATCGAGAATATTCTTGGTGTAAAAAATGGTCTCCGACCATAACGTCGAACACATCATGGATCTATAAGATATAATACTCGTAAGATCGTATTTAACGACGAAGAGGCCATAGGTGCATTCAAGATTACTTTACTACTCGGTCATTCTTTCAAAAAGTTACTTATTAAAAATCTATCGTGTCTCGTTTTCTTATCCAGTACTGTGTAGCGTTAATCAAGTGAGGTTAAAGGGAGACTTTAAATCTGTCGAAATAGGTAAGAATGCCTGTTTTTACGTCTAGACATAACATTGTTTTTAGCTATATAGTGGTGGTAGTTATTTCTGTATGTGCTATTTCTGTTCCATTCTTAAATCGTGAACATTTTTTTGTGATAAGTTTGGTTAACGCGCTAAAAACGTCAATTGTATTTTTGGTGCCTAACCAGTGCTTTGTATTTTTGGCTTACTCTAGAATAAGTTCCTCATCCTTAGGCCTCATTGTGGGTTTTTTCTTGAAATGCTGGCTTTTCACAATGGTTTCGTGGACATTGCGAACTGAATCTTAAATGGATTTCAAAAGCTGCATTGGGCTCATCTACTGCTCATTATGGGATTTGCCATGAATACGGCCTGTATGTATACATCAATATTTCCTGGGAATGCTGTGCTAAACATTGTCAAAAGGGTCAGAGTCAGACAGACCAATCAGCCCCGATCGGATTCGATCCCACGGCTCTACCACACCCGACTGACTGGGAAGGGTTAAAGGGAAAGCCTACCGCGGAGAAAGACGGCTACCAAAAAGGACTTACAAAGAGACGTGTCGGCATCGTGCGGACACGACAAGAACAAAGGAAATGCCCGACGGCGGCGGCGGAGTTGAGCATTACATTTGAAACCTGGCGGTCTCCGAGTAAATTCGAGGCATCCAGCCAGCCAGGGCGGGCAATCGAAGCAGGCGCCAAGGCCAACCAACGTATCTGAGCTCGTGACGTCATCTCAGAGAATGACGTCACTCCTCTGAGTCGGTGGCGTCGCAGTGGACCACTGCGAGCCAGTGGTGCCGACTCGACGTCACTGCGGAGCGGGCATGAGGTGGAGAGGTGCCCGTCATACCGCGGTTATAATGTTTCTGCCGGACCGTGTTGCGAGTCAAACGCACCAACGTGTAAATGGCGCCGAGGAGAATGTAATAAATCATGGAACTCTTTGCCAAAGTGAGAAATGTCTTTTATCTATCCAACGATTAAGAACATAAATCGAATAACATATCTGCTCAAGTCATTTAATAATCACCAACTCGTTTTTGGTACACCTGTTCATACATCATTTCTGCACATGTGAAAATTACAGACCCAGGTCGTTCAAGGTCAAGTCACCAGGTTAGGTCAAGTGACTATACCTCAGAAAAAAGGCAAAGGCTCGCTATAGCTACACCGACTGAACGATCCCTTTGAATCTTCCATCGATTGATATGAGTAACAGTATGTATGAAACATATTTATCGGATTTTTATATCTGTGACCTAAGGTCAGGTCATTTTTGCGACCTCTCCATTCCCCCCCCCCCATGAGAACCTTGCAATGTTTATAATGTTTATTTACACCGATTTCAAAGTACAGACAGTGTTCACCGTAACTAATTAGTTAAAAACATTCTAGCAGGATTTTCCTAATACTTTGGAGTTATTTAATGTAGCACATAGAAAGAGGTGGCTAGTCATTTATCCAACAATTGCCTAATTTTCAAATGGCGTCCCTCCGAAATTGATCCGTCTGCCAGTCATGAACTTATAGCGACCAGTATCAAGTGCTTCAATCAGGCACCAATGGTGGTTTACAAACATTTTTACCCAACGTGTAAATGAAGTGACTGATATGACACATATCATTTAAGTGTTTGAGGCACCGAATGCAACTGTAAGCCATATTTACGTAGGAACTCTATAAGTACCATACAGGAACGGTTATTTAACTAGCTTTCATTTTCATGCATAGCTTTAAAAGGTTTAAGTTTGATCACACTTAAGATAATTTGCGATGTTCAACTTAAACAGCTGATTTACGAAGCAAAAAGCTGGTAGTGAAGCATATGAATACATTACCTGTGGCGGCCGCTAGATGGCAGCAGCGATGGGCGCCTGAAGGTATGCTGTGCCGCAAGGCAGCGGTGCGCGCCTGCAGGTATGCTGTGCCGCAAGGCAGCGATGGGCGCCTGAATGTATGCTGTGCCGGACAGCAGCGGCGGGCTCCTAAATGCATGCTGTGCCGGATAACTGGAATATGTCCGTACTCTGCGTGCTAATGCGCGTTATTACAGGGGGCAATGGGGAAAAATGCGTCAGTTTCAGCCTGGGGACACGGAAAAGTTGCGCTTAAATAACTGTTTGCTGAATGGTAACGACGTTGTACAGAGCCAGAGTTTGCTTTGAGCTTGTACCGCAACTCAGATATTATTACGCATTAAATCTGTATGTACGCATGTATGTATTTACAGCGATCCATACATGGCGTGGCGATGGCATGAAAAGAATCAAGCATCCGATAAGCAATTTTGCAGTATGTATGTCCCATTTCCGCTTCTCATAACTAGCTATCCGTAGCTGTACAAATAATGTCGCATGCTAAGTAAGTATTTTCTTCTTGGCGAATGGGAATGCATATTCATTAATTAACTCTCTTTTGGAGCGTTTTACATGACCCGAACAACATACCTAATGACTGAAGCATACCAGGAAAATATGTTACAAATCAACAGCAAAATGCATCGGCTGGCACCCAACTTTGATAACTATCGGAAGCAAGGCGATCATTTTCTTGCTCAGCCTCTCGTTGAACTGACCGCCCTAGTAACTTGAGCCAAACGAACAAAGTAATCAAATGTATCCTTTGCTCTCTTAACTCAAGTGACCGGGTAGTCTGGTGATGCGATGAGAAACGGCGATCGACAGTATAGTCGACAGCGAAAAATTCGATGCTTCTCGATTCGATGGCTGTGAAAGAACCACACATCCCCAACCGATTACTTCTGAGCTCTTGGAACATTTATTCGTTGCCTTAACTTAACTGAACACACATGATGAATTGCGAGACACTTGATTTAGTAACCACATGCGACAGTTGGGCGGTATGTTATCGCACCATTACTTGTCATTTTTGATTTCTCAAAACAAAAATACAAGGTGATGGAATGTCGATGTTTAAACATCATTCTATCTTTTTAAAGAAAGTATATTGGATAAATCCACCCAAACCAAAAAAGTTTGAGACGAATATTTAGTTATCACTTATCAGGCGCATTAGTGGTAACTTAATTCGGAATAAAAATTCTGGCCTATTAATTATAACGAATGTTAGCTTCTACGCTAAAACAAACATGCAGACACCTGTACTATCACTTTTACATGGCTGCAGCTTGCTCGTTAAGCGTATAATACCATGTTACAGTGGGATTATAACTGATAGTGCTACAGAAGCAAATGATCTCAAACAGAGCAATAAC